GGGCAGTGCCAACCACCCTCTGGGGGAAGAACCTTTCCCTGAGATCCAACCTGACCCTGCCCTGGCACAGCTCCATGTCATCCCTTGGGTGCCATCACTGGTCACCAGCAGGAAACACTTTGAGGGGTCAGGAGAGCAGAAGTTCACAAGCAAAGCCCTCTCCTCCAGCTCCTCCTGGCTTGGGACTCTGCAGATCCTTCCCAGCAAGAATTCCTGAGTTCATGTGACTCAAAAGCAAAGAAATTTGGCTAAAAATGGGGACAAGAAAACAAGTCAGCTCTGCCAACTGTGCCTGTGCCTCTTTGGTCACATCCTCACCTGGTGGATCCCTGATTTGAGATTCCAGCTGGGAAACTGGGCGGTGTTTAATGCTCAGGTGGGTTTGTTTGGGTGGAGGTGGAAAAAACAGGGATCCAGCGATCCTGGATATCCAGGTATTATCCCCTGTGCCACCAGAACTGAGCTCCAGCCCTGCAGGGTCACCACCAACCCGGGGGAGCACTCAGGGGGCTCCTATTTCTCTCTCCTGGGTGGATTTAAGGATTTTTTTCGGGGTGACTCTGGCAAGGAGCTGCTCTTTGCTCTCCCCAAACATCCAGACATGAGTCAGGGAACAAGGGAACCGCAGATAAACCTTCAGAACTTCCAGGAAAGATGAAAGGCCAACATCAATCCGGGCTGGTGGGGCAGTTCACCAGGATGGGATGAAAGGGGCCCTTTGCCATCCATCGGGGAGAGAGATGGGATTAAAATGCTGGGACAGATCCCTTTCATCCCTCAGAGCAGCAGGTCCATGAAAATGAGGGTTTGCACACAGGAATTTCTCAAACATTTCACTTTGTTCCCACAACCCCACAAGCAGAAATCCAGCGACTCACCGCCCTGAAAAACTGATTTAATCCGAAGAATGTTAAGAAATTCAGGAAGGTCGTTAAGGTTTTCAGCAAATGGAACTCAGTGGAGCATCCAAAGGGTCAAATGCCTCTTCTGAAGAGAATATTCCCAATATTCCTAGCAACAATGAGCCATTAGTTTGCTATTTCTCTGCCTGAATCTCTATAATCTGCATCATATCACAAAGCACCAATAACTCTGAGCCTCTGATTTCCAGCTTTATGGCACAACTGAGGACAGAACCAGCTCTGCTGCAATGCTTTGCCTGATTTATTGTCCTGGGAATGTTGCCAAGTTCCAGCAAGGAATGGAGAGTTTGGAAGATTTCTGGTGATCTCTTGGACTTCTTTCTGTGCTCAGCTCCAGCACCAGCCCATCCCTGAGGGCACAAAACCTCCTCTCTCAGACAACCAGCACTGACCTCTCCTCCTTCCAGCCCAGGTGAGGAAGGGGGGGTCAAAACCCCTCTGCTCCAGGGCCAAACACCAGCTGGAGACCTGTGGCTTCTGTCCCAGCTCTGAGGGGCTGTTCCAGCCAGGAAAGGGGGAGAGAGAAGGGAGAAGCAGGGAATCAGAGAATCCCAGGAGGGTTTGGGTGGGAAAGGACCTTAAAGCCCATCCAGTACCCCCCCTGCCATGGGCAAGGACACCTTCCAGCAGCCCAGGTTGGTCCAACCTGGCCTTGGACACTTCCAGGGATCCAGGGGCAGCCACAGCTTCTCTGGGAATTCTATCCCAGCCCCTCCCCACCCTCCCAGCCAGGAATTCCTTCCCATTATCCCCCCCAAGTCCCCCATTTGCCAGTGGGAAGCCATTCCCTGTTTCCTGGCACTCCCTGGTTTCTTGGCAGAGCTCTGACAGGTTGTTCCAGCAAGGAAAGGGGAGAGAGAAAAAAAGTGAGAAACAGGGAGAGTTATAGCCAGGGAATCCCAGAATCCCAGAACGGTTTGGGTTAGAAGGGATCTCAAAACCCATCCAGTGCCACCCCTGCCATGGGCAAATACACCTTCCACTAGCCCAGGTTGCTCCAACCTGGCCTTGGACACTTCCAGGGATCCAGGGGCAGCCACAGCTTCTCTGGGAAACCAGATTGGGATGGATGTGTGGAATCACTGCAGCCACACTTGGGAAGTAACATGGAATGCATGGGATGGGTGCCAGCACAGGGGATTTTAAGCCCTGGAAGGAAGGAATTAGTAAAAAACTTCTTTTTTGGCATGAAAAGTGTTTTGTTCTCTTCGAGTCAGATCCTGCTCACTGAAAAGCAGCCCTGATAATCCACCCCCTCCATGAACTCCTTGGGACTTGGCTGCCAGCTGGGAACAACCTGGAGAGCTTGAGGAGCTGGACTGGGAATCATCTCAGTTGGAACAACATCTCTTTTCCCATGGAAAAGCTGAACAATCCAGCTCTGAGGATTTTTCCCTGCACCCCATGGAACTCGCAGCTCCAAGGGAATTTCCATCATTTCCATGTAAATTCCATGCACCAAACCAGCCCAGGCTGATGGAGAGATGCTGCTGCTCTCAGAGGGGAGAAAGGGATTAAATTTCCTTCTCTTTTTTTTTTACCTTCCCATGAAATGTTTGCCCTTGATAAAAGAGGAGCCCCAGCAATGCTCAACGTGGAGGGGCAGGGCAGGGGCAATTCATTGCAAGATAGGGATATAAATACTAGAAATATAAATACTAGAAATACAAATACTAGAGATATAAATACTAGAAATATAAATAATAGAAATATAAAATCCCACTCTGAGCTGTGACATCCTGTGTCATCTCCAGTGAGGGATCCACCCTTGCTGGATTCAGGCTTTGCTCCAGGGCACACTCTAAACTGCATAAGTGATGAGCCAATGTATAAATATATATATATGTATATTTTCCTAGTACAGGAAAAGCAGCAAGCCTAAATAAAGCCAGGCATGAAGGTGAAGGATTGACATTCCAGGCAAAGAACAGCAGGAAACGTGGTAATAAAAAAAAAGGAAAGGAAATGAAACTGTTACATTCAGAAATCAGATCACTCTGCTCATTATTACAGAGAGATATTCCCGTGTGTTCTGCTTTATATAGCAATCTGATTTCAATATTAAAGGAATACACACTAATCACTAGAGGCAAATACAAGAGTCAACTCTAAAATCAGAGTTTCCTTTATTTGGAGTTCACCCAGGGGGAATTTGCCTTCCCTGCATTCAGAGAACACAAGTGGGAAGTGTTTCATTTATACCTGTCCCAGCACGGAGAGAACAGGCTGGGGAATCCCAGGATATCCTGAGCTGGAAGGACCCACAAGGACCATCCAGTCCAACCCCTGGATAGGACACCCCAACAATGCCCCCCTGTGCCCCAGAGGATCATCCAAACCCTCCTGGAGCTCTGGCAGCCTTGTGGCCGTGCCCACTG